ATATATATATATATATATATATATATATATATATATATATATATATATATATATATATATATATATATATATATAATATATATATATATATAATATATATATATATATATATATATATATATATATATATATATATATATATATATATATATATATATTATATATATATATATATATATATATATATATATATATATATATATATATATATATATATATATATATATATATATATATATATATATATATATATATATATATATATATATATATATATATATATATATATTATATATATATATATATATATATATATATATATATATATATATATATTGCTGTGTCCCGCTCGTCACACGGGGCCGGCCCAATCCATCTTTCCATCGTGGAGGCCCTAGCTCATCACACTAGAGCGCTTAAGCGTCTCCCCATGGACACCAACCTTAGGATCTATGACATTTTGATATTAATGATTATAGGATTACCTTGACGAATATAATGAGAAAGATTTTTAGACAATGACAACGATAATTCTAAAATACAAAAGTGTAGAGGCAAGTGTTTAACACTGGTTGGCTTGTGGATTTTTCTCAACCGGTACTCGTAATGTCTTGAAAACTCTTCGAATGGGGATAAAAAGAGATAATCTTCTTATAGCATGATATATTTGAGATCATAGCCTATATATAAAATGATGATCATTTATAATTCTCATTATTTCGAACGGATTATCTTGACATCCACTTTTATTTAAGCATATATTCATTTAAATAATTAATTATTAAATATAATTAATTATTTTATTTACTTACTCAACCGATTAAGACTTATATATATATATATATATATATATATATATATATATATGTATATATATATGTACATATATATATATATATGTATATATATATATATATATATATATATATATAATATATATATAATATATATATATATATATATATATATATATATATATATATGTATATATATTGTTGTTTTTACGATTCTTACTTTTTTATCATCTAATGTTATATATCATTTTACTTTTTTCTAATTTTATTCATGTTATTTTATAAATATTAATAAAATAATTATAACTCAATTTTATTAATCTCAGCTTCCACTAACACTTAAAACTGAATTCGCACGTTCATTTGTCCTTCACATTCGTTTAGCCAAAACATTTATTAATAAATGTAGCCACTAACTCTAACACTCAAAATTATTGAGTAAACTTTTTATTAATTAATTAATAATAAATTAGAAACAAAAACTAAGTAATCCCATAAATTTTTGATACTTACTAAATTAAAATAAAACAAAACCTACATTGTTGATCACGTTGGTTTTGCTGATGCAATAGCCATATTACAAATTTAAACTGTTCGGTAATAGCCATATTACAATGTATAATTGCATGTGATAATTTTTCTGGCAGTTACAACAAAATGATAACCAACTATAATCATCTTGCTTACAATTTTTTTTTATTACTTAAAACCAATAAAAGAATCTTTAGAAAAAAGTTTATGCTTCTTAATATTATTTCTCCAATTATAAACAAATACATTGAGAAAAGTATGAAATGAGGCATTTATTTTTGTAATAAATACTCTTACACAAAAATATAAAATCACTATTTATATTTTATACACATTAACTTGAAACAAAAAAAGACAATTAAACCTAAAAGGCATGAAAATACTATATAAGACATAATTATTTATACATAATAGACATAATTAAAAAAATATTTTATAATTTTCTGCAGTTATTAGACATAATTATTTAGATATAATTAATGTTGAATTTTATTCCATGTATTTTCTATAACCTTATGTTTTTTATTGTTATTTTTTAAAATGAGAGAGATCTTCGTATAAATAAATATACATTTATTTTACTTTTTATTTTATTTTATTGATATTTATTTATCATATATTTAATGCAAAATTAAGTTATAAAACACAAATTCATTTCACAAAATTTATTTCATAAAATATTAATCTATAACATCTATATCTTCTTCTATAACATCTATAACAATATATAAAGGCAAAACATCATTTTAGTGTAGCTTTTTTTTCTTCCAAAGCTATCCTTTGCTATTTTGAAAATTGTAACTGCATACCATTTTGTAATTTATCATTTCAATAGCTACTTAAAAGTTGAAAAAATAATATAACTGCAACTATCTCTCCACAATATTTTCTCCACGGTTACTAACCAAATTTTCATCTATAACAATATATAAAGGCAAAACATCATTTTGGTGTAGCCTTTTTTTTTCTTCTTCCAAAGCTATCATTTGTTATTTGAAAGTTGTAACTGCATACCATTTTGTAATTTATCATTTCAATAGCTACTTAAAAGTTGAAAAAATATTACATTTTTGTATCTATAGTACACGACACATTAATTTTTGTACTATAGTACACGACACATATCGTATCTATAGTACACGACACATTAATTTTTGTACACGACCCATTCATTTTTGTATTATAATTTTTTTAAATATTACATTTAATTTTACAGATAAAGTAATATAATGGAAAATGTCCGTAGTCAAGATTTAAGAGAGCGTCGAAGGGAAATACGAGCACAAAATGCAAGAGATAGAAGACAACAGATGAGTGTTGAGCAAAGACAACAAGAATTAGTTAGAAGGCGTTCGAATTACAGACAAAAATAAAGACAAAGGGAAAACAAGTTCAAACATATAATACTTCTAACGTAAGAACCATAATGCCATTTCAAGACTTGACAAATGTCAATCTTGCTTCTCAATTGTTTCCGATGGCACATGACAGTGAAGCTGGACCGAGTAATGCACATGTTAGTCGCATTCCATCCCCGGGTTAGAAACTTTAACTTTTGTTATACATTATACTTTAACACATTAAATTTAAAAATATTAATTATTTATGCAAAAATGATTGTCTGGTCTATTAATTCAAAACTAATTTACAGATCAAAATTTCCCATGCCCAATTTTTGAACAAACTGATAACAACGAAGCAAGACATCTATAGGAAATATTGATGACAATGATTGTGGTAAGTATAATTTTGTCAATAATAAATCACATTAATAGTAATACATATTTAGATTTATACATTATTGTTATTTTTAAACTATAACTCTATATTGAAGTTAATACTTTATTTTGTAGAATCACCCTTCACAAAATATGAATCCAGCGGTTGAAACTCACGAAACACAGTCAGTTTTTGATCAAGGTACGATTATGTATTTCTAATCTATAATATATATTTATATGTTTTTATGTTAAATATACTAGCGTCCAGACGGGCACTCGCGTGCCTGTGTGCTCGCTTTTTAAATGCACACGTAAAAATTTAAATGACATTTTTTATTTAATATTAATTATAAATTTCATGTTAGTAAGCATGTATATAATAAGTATACTTTTTTTAATGGATGTTTTTAAATGTAATAAAACACAAAATCACGGGTATGTTTTTCAAGCAAGACATAACATTGCTAGAAATTTTCGAAATAACTGTTATGACAATCAAATCCCTACTGCCTCCTTCAAGTGAGTGTAGACGATGCACTGCAAAATTGTTTCATAAAGAATCTCAAGACATGTGTTGCAAGGGTGGAAAGGTGACAATTACACAGGTGCCTGCTCCTGACGAGTTATTACAGTTATTTTCAGACACTTCTACTGAAGGACGACATTTTAGACAACATATTAGAAGTTACAACCATGTAATATCGTTTACTTCACTTGGTGTCCACGTTGACGAAAGTTTGGTTACAACTGGTCGTGGTATTTACACATTTCGTGCTCAAGGCACAATTTATCACAAATAGGAGGTTTTCATCCGAATCAAGGTTCAAGGCCACGCTACTTGCAGCTATACATTTATGATACTGATCATGAGCTTCAAAATAGGATGAGGGAAAACCCAATACTTAACCAAGCCATAGTGTATAAATTGCAAAAAATACTCCGTCAACGCAACCCGTTTGTCATCATGTTTAGGCAGCTTGCACTAGAGCCAAATGTTGAAGAATGTAGGTTACTCATTAAAGAACGTCCGTCAAATCAGCCACAATATAGTCTCCCTTCAGCTTCTCAAGTTGCAGCAATTGTTATTGGTGGTGGTGATGAAGATACAATAGAACGTGGAAGAGATATAAATGTCATAAGCTGTGATGGAAATCTAACAAAGGTTCACAAAACAATTGGGTATTATGATCCTTTATAATATCCTATATTGTTTCCGTTCGGAACATGCGGTTGGGACATAGAAACAAAGAATAATGTTGGAAAAAATGTTACATGCCGAGAGTACTACAGTTATGTGCTTTAGGTACATACTAAACTTTTTTTTTAAGAAATTTACTTCTAAAAGTGTAAAAAAAAAAGGTCATGATTGATTATTTTTTTCAATGTAGATTCGACATAACGATCAATTTGTATTGTTAAAATCGGGTCGACTTTTACAACAGTATGTTGTAGACAATTATGTAAAGATTGAAACAGGAAGGTTGAGATGGATTTGAAGAAATCAAAATAATATTCGGTCTGAGGTATATCAGGGGTTACAAGATGCATTGCACGATGGGGAGAATAACGCAGGTATTTAATATAACATGTTAGATTTATACATGAAGAGCATCCACTTTATGTTTACCACTATCATTTTTTTTTATAATTTTCATATATTTCTATAGATAATGTTGGACAAAGGACAATATTACCATCATCATTTATTGGAAGTAAGCGAGACATGACACAAAGATATCAAGATGGTATGACTATTATTCTTAATGATGGTAAACCAGATATATTCCTTACAATGACATGCAATCCTTCATGGATTGAGATAACTTCCGAATTAGGAATCCATCAACCTCCACAAGATTGACCTGATTTGCTAACAAGAATTTTTTGATCAAAATTTGAGCAGTTGAAGGATGATGTCATTAATAAAGGAGTCTTAGGGAGAGTTAGAAGTTATATGTATGTAACGAAATTTCAGAAATGTGGACTACCACATATGCATATGCTACTCATCTTGGATACTGATGACAAGTTACGGGAACCTGAAGAGTATGATAGTGTGGTGAAAGCAGAAATACCACAACATGAGTCTGAGCCAGAATTGTATGAAGCGGTGTTAAAAAACATGATCCATGGTCCATGTGGAGTATTGAATCAAAAATCTCCATGTATGAAGAATGGTCATTGTAAAAAACGATACCCAAAAGAATTTTGTGAAGAAACGCGTTAGGGAAATGACTCATACCCGGAATACAGAAGAAGGTTTAGTGATCCCATTTTCCTAAATAGGAATAAGTCTATTGATAATAGATGGGTGGTTCCTTATAACCCATGGTTGTTGTTGAAGTATGATTGTCACATCAATGTCGAGATTTGCAGCAGTATCAAAAGCATTAAATATTTGTATAAATATGTTTACAAAGGTCCTGATCGAGTTGCAATGGAAGTTCACAGAGGTACATGTTTGGATGAGATTCAACAATATGTTGATGCAAGATGGATTTGTGCTCCAGAGGCATTGTGGAAAATATTCAAATTCACACTTTACAAGTTATATCCCTCTGTTGAAAGACTACAAATCCACTTGCCAAATCATCATCAAGTGCGGTTTTATAAGCATCAAAGAATCACAGATGTGCTAATGATAACCAAAATGCAGTAACCATGCTCACTGAATTCTTTGCACTAAACCAAATGGATCCACATACTAGGAATTATTTGTACAGATAGATTCCAGACCATTATTGTTGGCCTAAAAGGGGTCAAAAAATGGCAGCGAAGACAGAGAAAACGAAAAGTTATTGGTCGAATCTATACAGTATCCCCTTCAGAAGGTGAGAAATTTTACTTACGTGTTTTGTTGTCTCATTTAAGAGGTCCAACAAGCTGGAATACCTTCTTACACATAATGGTGTATCTTTTTCACATTTAAAAAATCAGCTGAGGATTGGGGGTTATTAGAGAGTGATAATAGTATTCGTGAATGTTTGCTTGAAGCATCAAATATGTGTATGCCATATGCTTTACGAAGGTTGTTTGTGACTATATTAATTTTTTGTGAACCCAACTGATGTTAGAGGCCTATTTAATGAGTTTTATCCCTACATGGTGGAGGATTATCAAATGACAAATGTTGTTGTGGGGGATAACTTTGAAAATATGTTATTGCAGGAATTGAGGGATCTTTTGCTAACTGCATGGAAACTAATAAAAAACTACGATCTTCCAATGTTAACAACGGAAACAAATGAAGTCGGGGGAGTGCCAACAATTATTCAAGAAGAGTTATCGGTCCAAATCCAAACGAAGACGTTCAATCTGTTGTAAAGTTAAATAATGACCAGATGAGTGCTTACAATATAATTATGAACGCCATCCACCAAAAACAATGTCAAATTTTGTGTTGATGGTCCTGGAGGGACAGGTAAAACTTTCCTTTATCAAACTATAATGGCAAATTTGAGGCGTAATAATGAAATTGTCTTAGCAACAGCTTCCTCTGGTATAACTGCTACATTATTACCTAGTGGTAGAACTGCACACTCTCGATTTGGGATCCCCATTGATATAGAGCCCCATTCTATTTGCAAAATAGCTAAGAATTCTGACCTTGCAAAACTCATTAGAATAACCAATGCAATCATCTGGGATGAAGCACCCATGATAAATAAATATTGTGTAGAAGCATTGGATCGATCACTTCAAGACATCATGAATAAAAAATTGCTCCATTGGTGGAAAATAATGATCATGGGCGGAGATTTTCGTCAGGTGCTACCAGTTATTGAAAAAGGAAATAGAGGACAAATGATTTCAGCATGTATTGTTAGGTCTCGATTATGCGCCACCACAAAGGTCATACATTTGCGCCAAAACATGCGATCAATTCATGACCAGGACTTTGCGCAGTTTCTAATGAGGATTGGAGATGGTAATGAACCTACTAAAGAGGATGACATGGTCAGAATGCCTGCTGAAAATTGTAATACCTTGGGAATGAGAAAGCTCCAGTACAAAAAGCTTATACAACATACATTCCCCCAATTAGAAAACCATGGATGGGATGCTTCATATATGGTGGAGAGAGCGATAGTTACTCCAAAAAATTGTGACGTGCATATGTTGAATGACATGATTATTGATAAATTCCCTGGAGATGAACATATTTTGTTATCTTTTGATGAGGTTGAGGGTGATACTCATAATCTATATCAACAGGAATACTTGCACACAATTGCTCCTGGTGCTTTACTTCCACATATTTTAAAGATAAAAAATAGGGGCTCCACTGATGTTGTTGCGAAACATAGACCCTAAATTTGGGTTGTGTAATGGGACAAGGTTGTTATGTCGTGTTTTTTTTTTATGAATTTGCTTGATGTTGAAATACTTACAGGCCACAATGCTGGAAAAAGAGCTTTCTTGCCAAGAATTAAGCTCAAACCACTGAAGGTGCGGGACTTCCTTTTGTGCTTATTAGAAAACAGTTTCCTGTCAAAATAGTCTTTGCACTCACTATAAATAAATCCCAAGGACAAACAATTCCAAATATCAGAATTTATCTTCCACGACATGTTTTCAGTCACGGACAATTGTATGTTGCTTTATCAAGAGGTGTTTCGCGGGCTGCAACAAGAGTGCTAACTAAAGACGGAAGAGTAAGTGGGGAAGAAGGGGAGTTTACAAAAATATAGTTTTTAAAGATATTTTGTTGTCACAAACTTAGGTAATTTATCTATTATGTTTAATCATTCAACTATACTTAGGTATTTATCTATTATGTTTAATCATTCAACTATACTTGTGCAATCTCACATTAGGCGTGTACTTACTAATTACACTATACCGTTGACTACTAAAAATTACTTCATTTGTTTTGCAGTGAAACAAGAGATATTTCTGATTTTGATTCCATGGTTGACCTTCCTATTAAGCAATAATGTAACTTAATATATGTCTTAATGGTTATGTTTAGTTGCTTAATAAATTGTGAGAAAGATTTTTGTTCTTCTTCTATCTAAATCTTCTTATGCTTTTGACTAATCTATAGTAATATATAAATTACACACCTAATGTTTAATGGTCTTTTGACTAATCTATAGTAAGATTCATTATTATCTTAAACTAATCGTTAGGACAACATAACAGATTGTTAGGACAAATCTATAGGAGACCTAACGTGTGCAACATAATCGAGATGCATAATAAGAAGTAAAGAGATGTGAAAAGACCATTAAAATCAATATAAATAGTTTATGATAAAATTTAATATATAAAAAAATACGCTGTTAATATTTTACGGCGGTTAGCGCAATAAAAAAAGCGGACAAACGGGCATGGACGTGCACGTTTGGACGCTAGTATATATATATATATATATATATATATATATATATATAATATATATATATTTATATATATATATAATATATATATTTATATATATATATATATATATATATATATATATATATATATAATATATATATATTATATATCTAAATATATATATATATATATATATAATATATATATATATATATATATATATATATATATATATATATATATATATATATATATATATATATATATATATATATAATAATATATATATATAAAATAATTGCTCTGTCCCGCTCATCACACAGGGTCGGCCCAATCCATCTCTCCATCGTGGAGGGCCTTGTCCATCATGCTGGGAGCGCTTAAGCGTCTCCCCATGGACACCAACCTTAGGATCTATGACATTTTGATATTAATGATTATAGGAATACCTTGACGAATATAATAAGAAAGATTTTAGACAATGACAACGATAATTGTAAATACAAAAGTGTATAAACAAGTGTTTGACACTGGTTGGCTTGTGGATTTTTCTCAACCCGGTACTCGTAATGTCCTTGAAAACTCTTTGAATGGGGATAAAAAGCGATAATCTCTTATAACATGATATATTTGAGATCATAGCCTATATATAGAATGATGATCATTTAGAATTCCCATTATTTCGAAATGGATTGTCTTGACATCCACTATTATTTAAGCACATATTCAATTAAAATTTAATTATTAAATATAATTAATTATTTTATTTACTTACTCAACCGATTAAGACTCATATATATATATATATATATTATATATATATATATATATATATAAATATATATATAATATATATATATATATATATATATATATATATATATATATATATATATATATTAATATATATATATATATATATATATATATATATATATTATATATATGTGTATGTATATATACATACATATATATATATATATATATATATATATATATATATATATATATATATATATATATATATATATATATATATATATATATATATATAATATATATATATATATATATATATATATATATATATATATAATATATATATATATATATATATATATATATATATATATATATATATATATATATATATATATATATTATATATATATATATATATATATAATATATTATATATATATATATATATATATATATATATATATATGTGTGAGTGATATATATATATATATATATA